CCTTGTTCAAGTGAATTGTAAAAAAAAAGTCATTACAGATTGCCTCTTGATTTACCTTGAAGTCGAAAATTAACCATAATTGATTGGGGGTTGTGACGCTGTAAATCCGTCTACGTATTGTGCAGCGTGTTCTGGCGGACCGTCCAGTTAGATGAATTTCTTGCAGACTTGCGCCAAACTAACGCCACCTTTGAATGCGTAATCCATGTAATCTCAAGGTCCCATGCACATACACTACCGGTCAAGTTTTAGAACACCACACTTTTTCTAGTTTTTTACTGTTTACTGTTGACCAAAAGGTATTCTTAACTTTTGATTGATGAAAGTGTCCACCTTTGGCAGATATAACAGCTGAACGCGCTCGTGGCTCGTTCTTTTTACAATAGAAATCAAATATTCTTCAGAAAGTTCTTCCCAAATCTGTTGCAGAAGTTCCCATAAATGTGCGGCACTTGTAGGTCGCTTGGCTTTCACTTTTCTGTCCAGTTCATCCCAAACCAGCTCGATGGGGTTTAAGTCTGGACACTCCATGTTTTCAAGTTTACCATCTTGTTCTTTTTTTTCTGAGGTTGTTTGGGCAGAGCTTGGACTTGTGTTTTGTTCTTTTATCTTTTTTTTTAAACCTCTGGCTGTTCAGTTCTTACCTTTGTACCATTTCAAGCTCTTCATTGGACTTGCACGACTTGAATTGCAATAAATAACTGGAAAAATTAGGGTATTCTAAAACTTTTGACCGGTAGTGTATCTCTCACCTGCATCTGTGGTTGCCTGGAGAATTTCATGAACAATGACGTTAAAATTCTCATTCAAGACGGTTGTATATGTTAGAGCCTGAACACCAAGTGTAAAATTTGTTGTTTTGAAACACTCTATTGAGACCTGCCTTGATGGCCCGTCATTACAGTTGGCAGTATCAGTATATGTATATTTTCAGACTCTGTTCTCCGTCTATTTTCATGACCAGTGACCAGAAAATTTAAAAAATCCACTCAAGGACTCCAAGTCTCTGATCACTTCTATGTCTTCAATGTCAGAAAAATCCATACCTCCCCTATACATTTCCGCAGCACATCTCAAAACATCACCAAAAAAAAAGACTAATGTCATCTTCATTGGCACTTACCAACAACAAAAAAAAAAAGAAAAAACGGATGGAAAGTACCCTTGAACGCTCTGAATAACATCATACTGAGCAGCAAATTAAGAGAAAAATATCCTGCACATGTCTTCCAAAGTATTTCCTGTTATGAACATCGCTGCCTTCAATATAAATGTCACTTCCTGTTTAACTACTAAGCTACTAACTACTACCATATACAGCTGAAATAACTCGAATGAGAAAGGAGATTGTATGTGTGAGAGGAGAATGTGTATATGTGCATGTGTAAAATGTCTGTATGTGAGAGAGAGAATATACTGTATGCAGTGTTGGAAAGGTGACTTTTAAAATGTATTCCCCTACAGATTACAGATGATTACATACACCAAAATGCAGTTTGTAATGTAATTCATTAGGACACTTAAAGTGAGTAATGTAATCTGAATACTTTGGATTACTTGATTTGCTGCAGAGAAGCAAAGATGAGGAGATGTTTTTTTCTGCTAAAGGAAAATAAAAAACCCAGACTTTACTTAACCAAATAAAAAATATTATTGATAGAAGAAGAGGAGACACGGTCCATGCAGCCTGATTTAGTCCTGTTAAATCCTGTTTTAGACCTGGTTTGGACCTGGTTTTAGACCTGGTTATAGTCCTAGTTTAGTCTTGGTTTAGACCTAGTTCAGACCTGGTTTAGACCTGGTTTAGACCTGGTTTTATTCCTGGTTTAGTCCTGGTTTGGACCTGGTTTAGACCTGGTTTAGACCTGGTTTGGACCTGGTTTTAGACCTGGTTTAGACCTGGTTTAGACCTGGTTTAGACCTGGTTTGGACCTGGTTTAGACCCTGGTTTAAACCTGGTTTAGACCTGGTTTAGACCTGGTTTGGACCTGGTTTTAGACCTGGTTTAGACCTGGTTTAGACCTGGTTTGGACCTGGTTTGGACCTGGTTCAGCGTCCGGCAATGAGTGAATTATCGAAAAAAAAAAAAGAAAAAAAAAAAGGGATATAGCCTGAAATGTAAAAACAAGTAAATGCCGCCATGTAATCCATTTATTTCAACAAAGTAACTGTAATCCAATTACCACTCACTGAAACAGTAACTGTAACTGAATACAGTTACTCATAATTTGTACTCTGATTACGTAACTCCGGCACATGTAATCTGTTACTCCCCAACACTGACTGTATGTATGTGAGAGAGAGAATTATATACATGTGAGGGCCAGAATGAATAATGTCTTGAACAGACCCTCATAGGACATAACCTGCACTCTTACTGTGCCTTAAAAACACTACAGTCACACTGAACAAATGATTTCCCAGACTGAGGACACATACAAGTTTTTCTCATTCTCGGTTTATGGACAGGCTTTATGTGAAAGCACAGAACCTCCAGGATTCACTCATGAGCTGCAGAGGCTGCACTAGCACTGATTCATGATAATCTACAGGTGCTGCTGGGGTTTAGGCAGTGACCATTCAGATCAGAGAGACATTTTAGGTTTAAACCAACTGGATTTCACTGAAACTGGCAACTCAAATTAAATTCATGTTAGTCTCATGTTATGCTCATTCTGCTTTCTCATGTTCTTGAGAGCCAAAACACCAAATTGTAACACAAATAACACATCCACATGTCTCATGTTTTTGGAACTATGAATAAATTAGCATTACAGCTGTATATTTTTGCACCTTTAAGTTCTATCTTTGGACACTGATAAGTCATGCTTATGAAATGTGAAGTGGAAAAAAAGTTTATCCCAGTTTAGCAATTTTTAGGTTTAAAATTTGACTTCTTATTTGCAAATCACTGCATTTCTCTTACGCTGTCACTAGTTGGTGTCTGTGTTACAGCTGTTTAACAATGTGCCAGCTTTGGCCTGATAGATGAAAATCGGTAACCAAAGAACACAGACAAAGCTCAAATCCTTATTTCACTTTCATTCACCAATAGATCAGCATTCCAGCTCTGTGAAATCAAAGTTTCTGAAGGATAAAAAGCATTTTTAAGTATTGCTCGGGTTTCAGATTACGTCAAAATACTATATTCATAGGCTCCAGTATTCTGATAAACACATGCAGGTGTATGTGTTTATCAGCTTTTCTCTCAGGTGTTTGGTGAAGTCCTTACATGTGGTTTGCTGTTTAATGAATTTAAATTCATTATTTTTGGTGCCAAGATTTTTTTCTTATTATTCTAAAAAGTATATTGTATTTGCATACTCACGATGTTTGACATCATAATCTTGTCATCCCTATAGTTCTTTATAAATTAAATTTGCCATCTGATCTTTGTTATCCTGGTCTTTCTTCATAATTGTTCATATTGTTGTGCGTTGGTCTTTTATAGGTCATGCACTGTTAACTTTAACTCACACAGATTTCACTTTGGTCCTCATTTGCCCGACAGAGCCTGAGCTAAACTCTCTCACTCTCTGCACTTTGCATATGAAAATACTCAGGCAGTGACACAATCAGCACCTTTAAACAAGAGGATGTTTGCTGCAAAATAAACAACCAATTAAAGTTCAGATTAATTAAAATACAGACTACCCAGTTGTTTTAATATGCAGAACACTTCAGTTTGTGCCATTATTTCAATATTTATTATGCCTCAAAATTAGAAGTAGTGTCAGCATTGAGACACAAACATCTCTTTTTCTAAAAACAGAAGTGTCCTCCGCTGAAGTATTTTTTATTCGTGTACATGTTTTCATTTTAGAGACGTCCACCCACTTCTGCCTGTTCATTTTTGTATAACGCTGCAAAACTGCCTTTAAGTGACATCGAAGGTGCAATTTCCCATCCAAAGCTTTGGCAGGTTGTGAAGATGCTGCTGCTGAATCCGCGGTTTTATCACATGCTCAGAAGTCGTCATAATCTGTGTATCATTCGTTCATTCGTTTTTCAATATAAAACCAAAAATAAGAAAATTAAAAAACAACAGTTTTCTACATTATTTGTCTCCAAAACCAAAATGAAAAAACGGATAATGATTCGATTTTTCAGTTTTTGATTTTGTGTTTAAATGACGAATGGAAAAAACGGACAACGGCCTTTCCATGACTGGGATATCGGACTTTTGCACTGCATACGGACTGAACCAGGACTGATCCAGAATCGGGACCAGACCAGACTCCAAGCTTTGACTCCAAGCCTCCGGGTCCGAGCCTCAGTTTTGAGCTCCGGGCCCGTGGGCTCTGAGCCTCCGCTCTGGTCCTGGTCTGGTCCCAGCCTGGTCTCGGTCTCAGTCCCGGTCTGGTCCCGGTCTGGTCCTGGTCTGGTCCCGGTCTGGTCCCAGCCTGGTCTCGGTCTCAGTCCCGGTCTGGTCCCGGTCTGGTCCTGGTCTGGTCCCGGTCTGGTCCCAGCCTGGTCTTGGTCTCAGTACCGGTCTGGTCCCAGACCTGGATCAATCCTGGTTCAGTCCGACATCGCAGTCTTGGAAGTCACGTAAACGGGAAACGGCCATTATCCGTTTTTTCCATTCTTTATTTAAACACAAAATCGAAAACTGAAGAAACGAATCATTATCTGTTTTTTCATTTTGGTTTTGGAGACAAATAATGAAGAAAACTGTTGTTTTTTCATTTTCTTATTTATTATTTATTTATATGAACAAATGATACATGGATTCGTCATCTGCATGTTTCTGTTTATCTGATAAGTGTGAATAAAGCCTGTGGTGCACAAAGACAATTCTGTGTTTTCAAATGTTTCTCTGAACTAAACTTAAATCTTAATCTGAACTAGAACTCGAAAAACACAACACCACAAGACACAAGAGACAGGAATAAGTGACATATTTAGTTTTAAACTTTTAATATGACTGAGCAAAAAAAAAAAAAAAAAATCAATTCATAATTAGCTATATTACATTCAAATGGCATTCAGAGTTTAGCTGAGAATTAAACCACATGATATGGAAATACAATATTATAACATTTTTAACACATTAACATAAAAGCAAGCAGCAAATAGATAGGAGGTCTGTTTAGACGTCCGGTATTGTCTGGTAGTGTGATCATGTGATATTATAAATCTTTCTCATTGGTGGAAAGAATTGTCTTCTGTTATGTGATTGGAGAAGTAATAGTTTTTTGTTATCATCTGATTGGTTGAGGTTTGCATCTGCTGTTTTCTGACTGAGTGAAGTTGTGGTATGTGCAAATATATGTGTCATAGACCAGAGTTTCTGTCATCTGGTGTAGGTTATTTCCTGCTGTTGTCTGATTGGCTGATGCTACTGTCTGCGCAGACGGGCCCCTCCTGCTATGGTCTGATTGGTTGAAAGGCCTTTGGCAGCCAGAGTCAGCATGCGCAGTCTCTTCCTCTCCCTCTTCAGACCCAGTCCTTTTTTCCTTTTGCCTCCTGCAAAAACAACAGAAAAACAGTCAGAGGTTTGTTTCATCTTCTTCTCTTTCAGAGTAAATGACACAGCTATAAATTGTCTGGTACATATTATGTAAATGAGATCAAACACAGAGCTGATCAACACATTGCTATGTACTTTAAAGTATATGGAAGATAATGCCGCACTGTGGAACATTCCAGACTTCTCCATGAAGACAAGCAGGGGATGGACCTTCCCTCAGAAAAGTCTCAAAGTGCAGCAAGATGGATTCTCAAGACATTTGTGAGTTCACAGACTCATGAGAATCCATCTTGAGATAATCTCGCTGTAAGATCTAAACGTGTCCAGCAGGGGGCAGACCAATCACAGAAGCATTGAGGTTTATGTTGAAGCCAACTGCGAAGGTCATGATGATAAATTTCAGTAAGAGCCAATCCAGATTGATGTGTACAACTCAGTTCAGATGCTGCACACACCAGTCAGGTGTGAGCCAGGTTGGCGAAGTGTGTCTTTAACAATATAAAACAAAAGTTTGGAGAAAAAAAAGATCAAGTCCCTGTCACATATAATATTTAAATAATGTGTCACAGACAGATGGTCAGGACCACCTGAGCTGGAGGATTTTACCTACAGTATAATGTGTGTTAAATGGGTGGATGGGGAAGCCCACTCAGACAAAGGGAGAAACATGTAAAGTCCACACACAAAGACCTGGGCAGCCCGGAGCCTTCTTACTGTGAGGCATGAGTGCTCACATGGTGTCAGGCATGATCCCACAGGAAGGGCATCAGAGATAAACCCCGGTCAACAACAGTAAAGACGATTAGAATCTAGTTCCTTTTAAGTCTTTGCAAGTTCATTTTCAGTCTGTCATATTTAGAGCATTGTAAAACCAGTTTGTGACTTCACCTCTTGTCCAGCCTCTATAAAACTGTCCACCATCAGAGCAGTGGTTATTTACACAGGGAGAGGTCCGACCTCCACTGAGAGACAGCACTCTTACAGCTGGGCGACACCTTTCCATAAAACACAACATACACCAGGGAAACATCCAACATGAAAAGAATCAAATATGTGAAAAACGTGAAAAACACTGCACAGATTCTGAGTAATTATGTGTGAACTGAAACAGTTTTGGGCTCGATGACCTGATGACAGTCCAGGGGTTTCCCGTGCGTCCACCTCTGCTTTGGTGGACGAGTTCAGATAACAGAAAAGTTACATATTCTGTTGATTGATGAACTGTCCTTTAGGAATACAAATGCCCACAAACCTGCTATAGTCATAATCTGAGCAGACCTTTTTTTTGGCAAAAAGATAATAGCAAAATGTAAGCAGCAAGATTTAATTATTCAGTTCACCAGAGAATGAAAAGCAATAACAATACTTTGGAAAACATTTTGTTTAATATCAATTCCTCAGTATTTTTTGTAAGATAATTTGTTTCATCAAATATTTTGAATTTTAAATACAGCTGTATTTCTTTGATTTTTTAACTCTGGAAAAACATGTTTGAGTTGTTTTTATTCTGAATTCCACATTTTTTAAATATACTTTTTCAACATGTTTCATATTTCAAAATAGAAAGAACTCGATTTCAACAGTCAAAATTCAGATTGTGTGTCAAGGCAAAACCAATCATGTGACCGAGGAGGACAGAGGCTGTGTCCTGTTGGCCTTTCTCCTCTGTAGACGGGGCTTATAGTTAAAGAATCAAAGAGATGGGCTGTGTCTGAATGTCCACACTATTCCCTACTTACAGCGCTCTTTAGGAGTCACGCCATTTTTACAGGTGTCCAAATGTCCAGTTGGTGCAAATGGAGCTGTGGATCCTGATTCTGAATCAAACTCTCTTAAATAAAGCATCATAATCCATTAAAGATGGATGGGTATCTGGGTAAAAAAGCTAAACCCTGATAAAACTTTTCAATGGAGTGGTCCATTTATGTCAAAACCAGCTTGACAAAAACTCATATGATTATTATTAGTCCTTTAATACGTGTGTGTGTCAGTCTGATTTGATGATTATCAGACAGAAAAAAGTTTTATCAGAGTTTAGCTGACTTTTTTTTTACCCAGATGCCAGAGTCACGTGACCCAAATGTGGTGAGCTGCGTGTCCAAATGAGTGCACTGTAGAGGGCGCTGAAGAGTGCACATATAGTATAGTGAATGAGAGATTAGGGGCTAGGACGGACATTCAGACACAGTTTTGATGAGGCTAATTCTGACCATTCAGCATGAGGCGGTAGTTTAACAGCTACTTTTTTCACTTTTTTTTTTTCAGTCAAGATTGAACATTTATTCTAGTGAAGGTGTATGCCAGTTAAAGAGCCATCAAACATCCTCCCAAAGCAAAATCTGAAATATCCTCCAGAGTGGGCGGTGCTCGGCAGGTGGGTGTGGGGAGGCGGGCTCTGGAGCGACGATTGACAGCCGACTGACAGCCACAACAATCCAACATGGTGTGGACCAGTGCACTCCGGACTTTGAAATAGAACATGCTGTTTCCCTTTTCTCCAGACACGGCGGGACATCGCAGTGCCCAGCGGTGCCAGGTGGGGGCGGGGCTGAGAGGGGCTTCTCACATACCGCCCGTAGACGCCAATGTCTACGCCCGTCACGTATTAACTTGCATCTGACTCACTGGCGTCCTTTAGTCCAACTCCGAAATTCAAACGTACTGATCGTAGTTCTTCCTAAAGAGACTCAGGTTTTGACCCTAAAGTCAGATTTATAACAAATATGAACTAAAATGCCAAAATATGTCTATTTTAGACCCATTTCCACAGCTAATCACTAGAAAAAAAAAGTGATTTTGGTGTTTAGTGGCCCTTTAAAAACACAGTGAAGAACTAGGAGGCAACTGAAATACAGAAACATGCCCATGGGACTATAAACCGGGATGAGAGGGCTTTATTACTCTCACACACCTGAGATACTGTCCTGAGGAAGTTGGACTGCCAATGGCGCTGTCGTCCTGCCTCCGCCGGTAGGAAGACAGCGCCAAAACCTGTTTAAATCAGCTGAACTGACACGTCACAGCAACATCACATGATCACTCTGACGCTTCAGTTAAATGATGACGGTCTGAACAGAAGACGCATCGCATCTTCACTTTTTATTCTTTGTTTAGATTAGTGTTTTCTGGAGGAAAGCTGCAATTCGACTGGGTATGCACGCCAGGTTTCTGTATACTGACCTGAGCAAATCTGACCTGAGTTTTGCGTCTTGGGCTGTTTAGACGGAAACGCTACGGCGGAGCGTATTCAACCTTTCCACTCTGGAGGGTGGTTTTGGATTTTTGCGTTTTTAAGCCCCAAAAACGGCGCAAGTGTCGAAACAAAAGGCACTTCCTATAAAATATTTTGTCATTTTTACCCGCAAGCGCTTTCGTGTAAACAGGCCCTGAGGAAGACCGCAGGGAGAAGTCAAAATTGTCAGGTATGAAAACAAACTCTTGGTCTGAAAAAAGAATATAATAACATAAATTATCGGATGACCAAATAAACCTCATTGGACAGTGACGCATAAGGTAGAATCGAGTGTTTTCAGTTTGAGAGAAGAACTGATTTGTGTGTTAAACATGCGTGCATGAAACAAAACCCAACTCCAGGTATGTTTTTGATGAGGAAACAACGTACTGTAGATCAGAAAATAGCATAAAATACGGCCCGTTAAACTGCTACAATAATATCGAACAAAATAAAGTATCATTGTCATCAACCCAAACTCCCTGTAGCTTTGGAGTGAGAAAACTGCACATGTGGTTGGCCAAACCACAAGCTAGCAGTTTCAACAGATCAGCCCAGCTCCAGATTCTTTTTTTTTTTTTTTTTGTCTTTCTTTTTTTTAAGTGTAAAATGTTTCCTTGTAAACTTGTAGCAGAAAGCTTAGATATAATGAAAATGCTGAGACTAATCATCGTCATAAAAAGTACTACGTTGCATAAGACGAAACCCCTGGTCCAACTTCTCTGGCTTCCAACTCTGCCTGTTTCTGAAATTTCACAACACATTTTGACATATCAGCTTGACTGCAATCCACGGGCCTACTTGAGTTGTCCCGTTGCGTTAAAAGGACTAACGCAGAAACTGAAATCCGCTTTTGATGTTTGATGTTGCGCTGGCTCGATATGAAAAGTGGGATTTGTCAGATTTGGATGCCGACTGGACTTCACAGAGATAGGACAATAGATAGTTTTACGGTCTGTCAATACCGAAACGCCATCTCCTGACTTGGATTCTCATGCGTCCATCTTTGCTTTAGTGGATAAGTTCACGTAATAAAAAGTTACATATTCTGTCAGGTGGGGAAGTCTGGATATTTTCAGGAATATAAATGTCCACAAACTTGCTATAATAGTATTTTTGTGTCTTGAAATTGAAAATTAAACCATATTTTGGGACATTCTCTACTTAAATATCAAAGTTTTATGCGATATTGTAGAATTTTCCATGGAAACACTCCCCTTTTTCAGTGCGATAAACACAACCAAAATGTAAAAAAAAAAAAAAGCTTTAATTTTAGTCAGAATTTTGGCTTAAAAGCTGCACAATGCACCTTTAAAGCCACAGTATGTAACTTTTTGGTTCGAGGTCCGTCACCTGCTTGTTTCTCCAATCCAGCTTTATTTGTATTTGTATAGAACATTTTATAAACAAAACAGTTTCCAAAGTGCTTCACATTCAGCAGAATTATGTTTCAACCATGAGGAAACTAATAGAATCAATAAATAAAATAATAATAATAATAAATTCAATAGAAAAAAATAATAAAATCAATACATAAAAGCAGTACTAAAAAAATAAAATAGATAAAAATAAATAAATAAAATAATAAATAGAATAGAATAGAATAAAAGTCGGTCTTAAGACAAGACTTAAAACTCTCCACTTTGGGGGTTTTGCCTGTAATGTTCCACGGTATGACATTAAACAGTTCTACATTACATTTATTCAATTACAGGTGGTTTTATAGCTCAAAAATAACTAGAAAAACAGGTATTCTGACTGTGA